AACTGCTGTTTGGGCAAGGAGAAGATCGGTCGCGGGCGCTGAATGAGGGAGGGCACCACCCGCCCGTCAGCGCGCAAGTCCGATGCAACAATGTCCGCGGCTGCGGCGGCCGTCGCGGCACCGTCAACCCGGACCAACCACGGACACACCCCGGAAGATGCCGACTCCGGCCGCTTGGCTCAAGGGCTTTCAACTGTCATCAAGCTCCTGGAGCCATCGGTAAGAATGCTATCAACTGACTTCCGCATCGCCAATAGTTTGCCCATGTTGTGATATATCAGCCTCAACCTGTGGATGATTCAGACGATGGCTACATGACGAAATCTTATTTGCTTGAATCAGAGAAATTGCTGCTGTCTACAAGCAACAGCTGTAGGGTTACATCGCTCACGTGGCGCGATATTAACGCGGGTTGCTGTGAGTTAGCCGTCGCACGTTAGCCTTGGATGCGTGAGTAAACTCAAACTCGTCTTGTTGGTGCAGGGGCTTTGAAATGACCAGCCGTCTCAAAACTCCTGCACCGATTCCACCACAGCGCTGACGTCAATGAACAATGTCTCAGACGCGGGCGTAGCTTGTAGACGTGTGGAAAAGCTGCTCAGTCTTCTCGGCACTCAGCACGAGGGCAATGCGCCATATCCCGCGGCATCCGCAAGTCAATGCCTCTATAGCGAGCCACGCCAAACACCATGGCAATCAAGCGAAGAGACTTATGTTATGGTCGTGCACCGCGTGTCGGCTGATTAATGTTACTATGGCGTTGGTGCGGTCGGCTTGATGCGGCCGTCTCGGCGCAAAGGATGCAGGATGAATTGTCACTTACATTAACGTTTCTGCCCGCATCGAACGATGGCAGGGCTAGGCCCTGTTCCCTGTTAGTCCAGGCCCTCGTAGTTTCCATGGATAATCGTGGAAGCCGGCACCATCGGAAATGACAGTGGAGCAGCTGGAACGGGCGCTTAGAGACTGGCAAGGATCTTAGCGCCGCAGTTCCTTGGTCTGTGGTCAAGTTTGACGCCTGATCTAATCAGGTCGACCGTCGCTTGCGCCATTAGCCCCTACCCGGGGATGGTTTCCGGGGTGGTGTTATTCATTATTGAGCTCTTTCGTTCAGGTTTCGCTTCTGCGCGCTTCACCAATGATAGGGACAATCGAAACAAGGGATGACCTCCGGGCCATCAGGGGTCATTGCGCAGCCCCATCGCCTGTCGTCAATCTTGGCGTCTTCGGGTCTGATCATATCGCTCGCGCCGTTAGTTTCTTCCATCGGCACCCTGCCAATCCCACGTGTGCCCTGGTAAGAAAAGGACCAGCCAGAACCCTGCGTTATTTCGTCTGACAATCGCGAGGACCTTACACTCCAGTGAGCTCATTCAAGCTGCCAACTCAGTCGATGCGCTTCCTTGTTATGACTCCTGGAGAAATGTGCAAGGGCAGCATGCTTATGACGTTATTATCCGCCGGCCGCTCGCTGCAAATATGAGATGATTTCAATGCCAATGAGAGATCACAAGGATAGCTTTGCGGAATCACTAATTCGTCTAGCCATTAAACATCCCTACTCACCTACCTGGGCGGGCGTTAAATAGCGCGCCAATGGATAAAAGGGGGAGCACTGGACCAGGCACATCCTAACGTGATCAGGGACAAGGTAGGTTTGTCCACCACGTTGATAACAAACCCCCATCAGTCCCGTCACCGTCGTCGATTAAACTAAGCAGCGTAATGTATAGTAATAGCACGATATCTCGCAGTCAGTATAATGTTTTGAGAGACCTTATTTGATACCCGCCCATAAAGCATGACCAATGAGGAACGCCCCATAGATAGATAGATACTGGGCTTTGGGACCGCACCTTCATGTGCAAGATCACGGGAACTTATAGAGATCTCTCGGGAGACAGAAGAACTACAGCGAAGGTCACGTAAGGATAAGATGAAGGGTTAAATCCACATACCCAAGATACAACACCCGTTCAAGAGACAATCAACTTCATAAACATTCCTCAGACAGTTTAAGCTATCGTACAATGCGAATGCCTAGCTAGTCTTGTGACCGGTCGTTACAACCCTTGAAGACTTAGATCCACTCAGAACGACTCTACCACCTTCGATGCTGTTATACGCGTCATTTCTTAGCTTCTGTTAGCAGACCCTCCGGCTGGGTTAGCTGACCGTAACACCAGTTTGGGTTCTGGCTGGTATAAACATTCAGTTAAACTCACTGTTCATATGAATGAGAACTAACAAATAACCTTACATAGAGCCAATATAAGCCAGTCCTTTATTATCTAAAATTGTGGATGCTCTGGATCCTGCATACTCACGACTTTAAATATTTATCAGTTTCCGTCTTTGTAGTTTCTGAGCTTCGGACCAATCAACAACCACGTCGAAGATGCCTAAGCGAGCTGCTGGCGACCTTTCAAGCCCTGCAGATATACCCATGATAAAAAGACGGAAAACACATCTGTTCGGCATGAACCAGCTGCATGACGAGTATTCGGAAGATATCATCAAACACATGGAAGATATAGAGGCAAGTGCTGTCCCAATAGGAGCGAGTCGCTTCTGGCATGCTGACAAACACTAAGTCCGAAACGACGCCTGACACACGCTGTATTTCAGCCGATATAATGGAAATGAGACCAAACGTTATTCGATCCCTTATAAAGATTCACGACGAACTCACCTTGCTTCCTCAGACGCTATTTCTATCAGTTAATCTACTTGATCGATTTTGCTGCAAGCAAACTTTCTGCGGGCGGGTTTACTACGAGTTAGTTGGCTACGCTGCGCTTTGGATTGCTTCTAAATTCGTTGAAGAGAAGGACCGAATACCACCAGTCTACCGTATTTCTAATTATATTCCTCGAGGAATGTATCAAAATCACGGGCTATTTTTTCGGCTGGAAATCTATATGCTTAACGTATTAGAGTGGCGCGTTAATCATCCAACCCCGTGGTGCTTTATAGAACGTTTTTGTGTCTATGATGGTAATGAAGCTAAGATTAGGAAGTCTGCGGTTGACATCTGTATAGCTATGCTGCCTGACAGCGAATGTATGGATACTCAGCCGTCTGTTATGGCCCGTCATTGCATGTTACGTGTCTGTAGTGGCTCACTTGGCTAAACCAGTTCGCTTTAAGTATTTCTTTGGCTTGTCAGCCCAAACGACATAACAACAGCACTGGCCGGATAGATGATTCATTGGTATAAGCCTCAGCTTCATTATTGCCATCCGGGACTTTACAGTTTTCTTCAATATTAGCCAACTTAGCACCACACTATGATTGATCTCAGCACATCTCATCTTCCTAGTATTGTCCATTTTATCCCGGAAGAGCCAGGATTCAAGGTATGACAGCATAATGACCTGCTTTACCTTAAATTGCTTTGCAAGAATCTATGTGTAGTTAGTGGCAAACACATTATCTTAACTCAGACTGCTACAGTAAAAGGCGTAATGGGTTTCGCGGAATTTCATAGACGACATCTTTTATAGTGGTGGTGGCTCATGTGGCTTAGCAGCTCACCCCCATAGCCGGCAAGTACTCACTGCGCAGGCGTTAACAGAGCCAGAAAGAACCAGAGCCGGAATTGGACGCAGCAATTAATGATTACAGCCAGGAACGGCTTACTTGTTGACTGCGGGGTCCCTGCCTGACCAAGAATCGCTGGACGCCCATCCCTTCTGCCAGACTGGAGTCCCATCGCGCTTCCTTCTCTCTTCTCAATCGGAGACGGCGCCGGTTCGGTATCAGCTGTCATCATGGCGCCGCAACTGAATGCCTCACAGCGGTCCCTAATCAAGGGTCTGCTAACGCAAGGATTTGACAAAAAGCTAAGTGCCTCAAAAGCCTCATGCTCCGTACGGACCGTTCAAAACACGCGCCTCAGGAAAGACGATCGCTGCATCGCACGACAACGGGCTGACAGCCTGATCTCAGTCTTGGGAGCAGGGTGACGAGGCAATCAATCTCACACCGGCCCCGCATCTACTCAATTGTGAGTGGCAGGCGTTCCGCACCCTCTTCAACTTCGCACCGAACATCGCGCAACGCGCCAATGATAACATCGCCATGCCCTGCACCAACAAGCCGTCGCTGCACTGCTGCAGGCATACATATCATGGGATGTCTCAATTGGTTCTCGCGCTTCAGCCAAGAAGCATGGTCAGCATGTTGTTCGCCAATCAATCAGTAGAGCAGCCCCCGAGCACTCCGGTCCTATCTATCTGACTGCTGCCAGCCTGATCTTGGGTCCAACAAATAGAGGAGGACACCCGCCATGCCCCATCGACTTTCTTTTTACGAGCATCTTCGTGTCTTTGCTTCCCTATTCGAACATGTCTGATCTCCAATCCTACACTGTGGGCTGGATTTGTGCACTCCCCACGGAGTTGGCCGCTGCCCGCACCTTTCTCGATGAACACTATCCCGCCCCAAAAACGGTTCAACGGAATGATAATAACACTTATACACTCGGGAAAATGGGAGAGCACAACGTTGTTGTTGCTGTCATGCCTAAGAAAGAGTATGGAATCGCAGCTGCCGCTATAGTGGCGAGAGACCTGGCCCACAGCTTCCCTAATATCCGCATCGGATTGATGGTTGGCGTCGGAGGTGGTGCGCCAAGTCAGCGACACGACATACGTCTCGGCGATGTTGTTATCGGGACCCGTGACGCTGGAAAAGGTGGTGTCGTACAGTATGACTATGGCAAGGCGACACAAAACCAAGCGTTCGTTGAAACCGGGAACTTGAACCAACCACCACCAGTTTTGTCAAATGCAGTCGCCGGGCTCGAGGCTGAGTACATGATGCAGGGTCCTGAACTCGACTCCAAGGTGCAGGCGGCTTTGGCTAAATGGAAACGACTCCAAAAGACACACTCACGTCCAGCTGCAAGTACTGATCAACTTTATAAATCCGATTTCATACACCCTCTCGACTCTTCTACAGCTTGCTCTCAAGCATGTCACGCGAACACCGCCAACATGGTGTCTCGACACGATCGGCAAGAAAATGAGGACAACCCTGCCATTCACTACGGGTTGATTGGTTCCGCAAATAAGGTGATGAAGAATGCCGAAATACGAGACAAGCTTTCGGCGAAAAAGGGTATCTTGTGCTTTGAGATGGAAGCGGCCGGCCTGATGAACCACTTTCCGTGTTTGGTCATCCGTGGTATATGCGACTATGCCGACTCCCACAAGAACAAGGAATGGCAAGGGTTTGCAGCGATGGTACAGTAGCTGCAGCATACGCGAAGGATCTTTTGCTTCAAATTCCGCCAAACGGTGTCAACGCTGAGAAGCCTATTCTTGAGGTGCTCAGTTCCGGTGAGTAAAGTAAAACTTGGTACATCAAACTCTGTCTAATCTTGACTAATTCAACAAGATATGCGTCAGTTGAATCGGACGGCAAATGAAACAAAGATAGCAGTTGAAACCATGCATTCAGACCAAACGTAAGCAAGCCCCCCTCCTGCCTAGCAAAGCCATATTCTGACTGATTAAGGATTCGTCTTTGCGACATCCAACAGCGTGTACAGAGTCTAAAGCTTGGCGAAGCTGAGGATCTGTCTATCGCCCTCAATCCTCATTTCCTTGTGCCGTTCCCCTCCGATCCTGATTTTGTGGACCGATCCGACATCTGGACATGGATGGAAAGGCAGTATGCCGGACCCGAGAGCCGTTTTGCTCTTGTGGGTCTGGGCGGATTTGGGTATGTCACACTGGGTACTGTTCGAGACCTACACTTACACAGCAGCAGCAAGTCCCAGATGGCCATACGATTCGCTCACGAAGTCCACGCCACCTCACCCCAAACCAGCGTCTTCTGGGTTCACGGCAGCACGAAAGCGACATTCGAAGAGTCTTACCGCTCCATAGCTAATATCTTGGCACTGCCCCATCGCCACGACCCCGACGTCAATATCCTAGGGCTAGTCCGTGACTGGCTGCAGAGAGAGGATACAAGCCGGTGGCTAATGATTGTCGACAATGCAGATGACTTCAAGATGCTATTCTCGAATAATGGCAGTGGCAATGACGCCAAGATACCAACAGCTTCGTACCTGCCCAATAAGGATAACGGCAAGATCCTGTTTACGTCCCGCAGCTGGGACGCTGCGGAGAGGCTAATAGGTAACGGCAAGATGATCCATCAAGTCCCGACAATGGAGGAGGCGCAGGCGCTACTTCTTCTCCAAAAGAAACTAGGCCAAGGTGTCGACGAAACTGCCGCGCTGCGCTTGATTCACACCCTCGACTATATCCCGCTGGCTGTGAACCAAGCAGCAGCGTACATCTTCAAACGAAGTCCCCGGGTGACCGTCCAATCATATTTGGACGAATTCCAGAAGAGTGAAAAGCGGAAGGGCACTCTGCTTCGCAGTGATAGAGGCGATATCCGACGATATGAAGGCGTCTCTAATTCTGTTCTGGTAACGTGGCAGGTAACGTTTGAACAGATCAAACGGGAGCAGCCTCGGGCGGCCAATCTTCTTTCGCTCATGAGCTACTTCCACGCTCCAAATATTCCCGATTATATGTTGTACAACTACAACAGCAGTAGCATAGGTGCGGAGAGTGACGATGACCACAAGGAAACCAGTGACGAGGACTTTGAGGATGACCTGGATGTGCTCCGGGGCTACTCACTCGTTACCATGACAGCTATGCCAGGTTTCTCAGAGATGTACTCGCTAGTGCAATTTTGCACCAAAGTTTGGATCTTAGAACTTGGTTCTCCTAACCAATGGGAGACACTATTTCTTCAATCAACCTCACAACATTTTCCATCGGGCGTTTTTGAAACGTGGCAGCAGTGTCAAACGCTTATGCCCCATGTAGAGCCGCTATTGGACAAAGAGCCGTCGGAAGAATACGATCGGCTGCAATGGAGCAGGTTGCTGACGAATGTGTCTTGGTACTTGGTGATGCTTGGCAACTATTCCAGGGCGGAGATCTTAGTTCAAGACGCTATTAGAACCAGGAGGGAAATACAAGGGGAGGAGCATTCCTCGACGCTGGCCAGCATGGCTAACCTGGCGTCGACGTACTGGATGCAAGGCCGATGGAAAGAGGCCGAGGAGCTGTTTTTACGTGTAATGGAGACGGACTTGAGGGTGTTTAGAGAGGAGTATCCCTCGGCGCTGACGAGCATAGGAAACCTGGCGTCAATATACAGTAACCAAGGCCGGTGGAAGGAGGCCGAGAAGCTGCAAGTAAAGGAACTGAGTATTTCCACAACAGTACTTGGAGAGGAGCATCCCAACACGCTGACGAGCATGGCCAACCTGGCGTCGACGTACAGGGACCAAGGCCGATGGAAGGAGGCCGAGGAGCTGTTTTTAGGGGTAATGGAGACGAGCTTGAGGGTGCTTGGAGAGGAGCATCTGCACACGCTGACTAGCATGGGTAACCTAGCGTTAACGTACATGAACCAAGGCCGGTGGAAGGAGGCCGAGGAGCTGGGGGTGTGGGTGATGGAGACGTTCAAGAGGGTGCTTGGAGAGAATCATTCCGATACGCTAACGAGTATGGCCAACCTGGCGTCAACATACAGTAACCAAGGCCGGTGGAAGGAGGCCGAGGAGCTGGAGGTGCGGGTGATGGAGACGAGAAAGATGGTACTTGGAGAGGAGCATCCCGACACGCTGACGAGCATGCATAATCTTGCCTTTACTTGGAAAGACCAGGAACGATGGAAAGATGCAATTGAGCTTTCAAAGAGCTGTGTTCGCCTCAGGGGGAATGTCCTTGGTGTGGACCATCCAGACACGATATCTTCCGCATCAGCCCTGTCAGACTGGGAGCTAGATTTCGGGGAAACTAGCCGCAAGGTTCCATGATGCCCTCAGACATTATATGCTTCTACGTAGCTATAGTGAGTTTCAATGAATACGGCGCAACAGTCATGATGAAAGGTAACGACCTTTGCCATTGCAATTGATCATCCTGGGCGTATCGTGGAGGGATGCGCCGTTTTCTGTGTAAAGAATTCATTCCTAGAACTATCCATTATCCAAATTATCTTCTAAGTGCTTATAACTTCCCCGTCTTGGACTAACACCTGTTTATATATGATTTCAACCATCAGATTAAGCTTAGTTTAACGTCATAGACTGGGCTCTGAAGACTAAGTAATCAAGCGGTTATTGCGGTATGAATTGTTGGTTCTATAGGAACCATTAATGCCATTTTTGGTTGATGCGAAAAGAGGAGAAGAACGGAAAAGCGTCGAAAGGGGGAAAGGGCGGGCCCAACGGTTGTTGGATAGGTCCCTAATTGACGGCTTACTGGTAAGCCATTTCTGGCTGCGTTCTCTCGATTTCGTTTCGTTTCCCGTTTATTCCTGGTTGCGTCCAATTCTGGCTGTGTTCATTTCTGGTTCTGTTAACGCCTGCGCAGTGAGTACTTGCCGGCTACGAGGGCAAGCTGCTAAGCCACACAAGCTACGGCCCCACACCACCACTACTAAACATATTGTGTATGAAATTCCGCGAAACCCATTACGCCTTTTACGGCTACATCGGCGCAATGCGCCTGCGGGCAAGCTGCAGAAACGGTAGAGCACTTCCTCTTTCGCTGCACACAGTGGACGGCACAGCGGACTCGGATGCTTCAGCAGACAGAATCGCATAGAGGGAACCTGTCGTACTTTCTCGGAGGAAACAGCGCGTCCGATGCTGATGATTGGTCGCCATGCATAGACGTTGTCAAAGAGACGATCAAGTTTGCAATGAGTACGGAGAGGCTGGATGCCTGGATGCACAGATCAGCCAGCAGCGGAACAACACACAACTTACACCAACACACTAATCGACGACATCCCCCCACGCACCCTCGTGCCATCGACAGCAGGACTGGCTTCGGCCGCCGAACACTTTGGGAAACAACCTCTAGATGGCCTGTTACTAACACCACGAGCAACCGCAACATTGGCAAGGAGTCTTGAAGGCAATGCATATGGGGATAGACAGTACTCGTATGGTTTGTTTGTTTGTTTGTTTGTTTTGTATTTAACGCCTTAGCGGCAAGGGCGCAGCCGCCCTTGCGGCAGACCTCCCGAAGGGTATGTGGCGTGGAGGGCCGCAGGCTCTAGCTACATACTCTGCAGTACACGCCGCTTCC